TTCTGATAGAGACAGCAGAGCGGAGGGTGAGGAGGGAGGGCTGAAGCCCATATGTGTGGGGAGCCAGTTCCGCAGACCCACCTGGGCCCGCTTCAGCCTCCTACAGTGGCAGTGGGGAAGGGAGGTGGGCAGAAGCCGGAGCTGACTTAAGACAGTTCTTCCCAGCTCCATATACTTGCAGGGTATGTAGGGGAGGCTACCGCAAAGCAGCCTCTGTCTACGGTGGCCCCAACTTGCCACAGGCAGCCTGTCTGCAGGGGGTCCAAGATCCTCAGGTCAGAGCAGCCTCTGTCTGTGGGGAGCTTGGACCACCCTATCCCCCAGCCGCTCCCACCCTGCACTGCTGCCCCTTTAGAAGAGGCAGCAATGCAGGATGGCAGGCAGCTGGACTGCATGAGCAGCTGGCTTTTAAACTGGCTCTCCTCATGGACCAACTCTCCCCTGCCCATCCTATCAAAAGCCTCAGTGCAGGATTGATGGGGACGCCCCAGGAGTGAGGTTGGCGTGCCCTGGCTGCCGGCCCTGCCTCTAGGGACTATCTAATAGTCATGTAACCACTGCAGTGTATGTGTTACATGAACGGTATTGTGCAATTGGACATTTTTAGTAAAATTATGTTGGAACATGGGCATCAATAGTTTTCTTCAACTGAGTCATGAAAAAAAAGAAGTTTGAAAATCATTGTGTGCCCCACAGCTTCTGGAACTCGCTCCAGTAGGAGATGTAGTTTGTGTAGGGCTAGCTTAAGGGTGGAATGGCAGGACTGTCTGCTTGATCTAGTTTTTTAATAGACCTAATGAGGGTTTTTCCTTCACATGCAGAGTCCTATTGTATTCTTAAATAATTATTGCTATTATGAGACCCTAAAGCTTGGCACCAATATACATTTCTAAAACACAAAAAAAGCTTTATCAAATTAATGATTGTTACTATTTGAACACCCTAATGCCTGGTCTACGCTGCAGTTAGGTTGATTTAGTTAGCTTGCATTGACCTAATTATGTCCGTGTATACGCTGCAGCCTTGTCCCTCTGATGTATGTGCCCCGTGCCTCTCCTGGAGATGGAGTTATGTTGGAGTAGCTAGGGCTGATGTGCTTTCTGGACAGCACATTCTTTACCTAGCTGTTGACTATTTGCCAATGGTGTGGCTCTGCTAGGTCTCTGTTCCAAGCCAGGCTGCTACCAAGGCTCCCAGCTTGGCCTGCTACCCCATGTCCCAGCTTCACGCTACTGTCTGGGAGCCTGGCTGCCCCCTGGCTCTTGGCTCCTTGAGGGGAGCACAGCTGCTGGCCAGGCTATCGGTTCCCTGACAGAAGCCTGGCAGCTGACTGGACTCTGGTTGCAATTCTCTCTGCTGGAAGTGAGAAGCCATGGTTGGCTGCTCTGCAGCCCAACTCTAGGCAGGAAGCAAGGAAGTGAGAAGCCCTGGCAGAAGTGCTTTAGTGAGAACACATACCACTGACAGGAAGAAGATTGTGTGGATATCCACTACAGTAAGAATTATTATACTGGCCGTAAGATGACTTAACATAGGTCAATTTAAAGTTGTGTATACAGGCTCTCAGACGTAAGCCATTCCCAGCGCACTTGAGTAAAACAGGACTTGCCTTGCTACAAGGTTTAAGGTGTACATGGCTATCTCTTCGCAGCTTGTTAGTTTATCAAAGAAAGAAGCAGCGACATATATAGATGTCTAACATTAATCTGGATTTGCAAGGGCGTCCATTATGATTAAATACCTTGACTTGGAGACGTTTAACTCAGGTTTGTACAGGCCACTGAACCTAGTGATGCATAGTTGGCTGTCATTTTTCTCTATTTGAAGAGATGATACTTTCTGTAAATCTGAAGAACTACTGCTGGTGGCACCATAAAACCCGCACCCAAACTCTTCCAAACTCATAGTACATAGGCGTTTGTTGGTATTGTGATCTTTTCTCTTCCTTAAAATGTGTATATCTCAGTACATGAATTAAGATACAATTAACATTCAAAGAAACCCTGAAAGTTCCTGCAGCATTTTTAATGAGGTAGCTTTGCATATCCAGTATTTTAAAGTTAACATACTGACTATATTTAATGAGAAATAGCAATAGAAAATTGTACATATGCAGTTTAATTTTGCATTAATGCATTTCTATTTCACTTCCTCTAGTTTCGTTGAGCAAGTTCGTTTTTAGTTTTTGAAAAAACAAGGAGGTGGGGGGAGAGAGAGTACCATTCTCCAAGAACAAAAGCCAACCAGTACTTGTGAAATAGGATCACCAGAATGGAAAATGTTATGCTTCTATATCACAGACATGTAAATTGTTGTCTAATATGTTATTCTGGGCATGTGGACAGCTAGTTGACTGTTCGTTTCTTTTTCTCCTAGATGAAAAGGAGAAATTTGAACCCACAGTTTTCAGGGATACAATCATCCAAGGCCTCAATGAAGCTGGGAATGATCTGGAGGCTGTAGCCAAGTTTCTGGACTCAACAGGCTCAAGGCTAGATTATCGTCGCTATGCCGACACACTCTTTGATATCCTGATAGCTGGCAGCATGCTAGGTAAACTTTGTGCTAGAAAAATTTTCTGCTAACATTTTAGTGGGGAAATGTGGTTAAATAGTGTACACTTTGCTCCACAAAAACTATGCCCTATGTTCTATCTAGGTACTTATTTGCTTTGCCTTCGGATAGGTGATGGTATTATTTATTATTGTATTATGGTAATGCCCAGTCATAGATGAGAATCCCACTGCACAAATAAGAGCTTACAGTCCATGTAGAAGAGAGATGACTGATAAATAGGGTCTGTCCTTACAGGTGCTGGTGCCCTAGGCATTTTATTTTCCACTGTGAAGACAACTCCAGACTCAACTTAAGGTATGCTGACTCCAGCTAAGTTATTTATGTAGCTGGAGTTGCATACCTTAAGTCGACCTTCTGGATCTGGTACAGACCTGGCCTTTGACAGTTTTTGTATGGTGTGAAGAGGATTTGGTGAGAGCCTGAATGTGGGAAGCAAATGTATCACAGCAGTAGTGAACCAGGGTGATGTGGCAGATCGTGGAATTGTCAGTGGGAACAAAGGAGGTTTGGAAGGAAAATGAGCTGAATTTCCTATGGATTTAAGTTTGAGATGACAGTAGTTGTAAAGATGTGTTTGGAGAGATGTATCTGGAGGTGCAAGACTGGTCATATGGGGAAAGGTTACTGTTGGGTACACTGAAGAGTCTGAATTTAAAGATTAAAAATAGGTAAGTGAAAGGGACTAAAGAAAATCACCAAGGCTATGTCTAGACAGTGGGCTATTTTGGATACCAGAAGTATCCTGAAATAGCAATTCCGCCTTGTGACGGGGCAGCCCCCGCACTCACCGGGAGCCATCCCTGGCTTGCTGGGGAGAAGCGGCGGCCCCGCGCCAGTTCCTGCCATGCGCGGCTTGTTCTGCCGCGGGCGGGGCTGAGCAGCAGCCCCGATCAGCTGTGCCCGGCTCCACCGCCGCTCCCCCAGCTGTGCCAGAGTGCCGGGCGCTGACACTGCCCGTGGCGCCGAACCGCGCCAGCGCCCTGGCGGGCCAGCCGCCCCCGCGGAGTGGGCGGGCCGACCCCACTACAGAGGACGTCAGGGCAGTGGGACGCTTAAATGGAGCGCTGCTGCCAGAGACCAGGGGGAAAGGCCGACACGCAGCCGGGAAGAGGAGGCATCGACAGAGGCACCTCGGACCCAGTCTGTATAGACCCCCCCGAGACCCAGTCGACACGGCAGCCGGGGAGGTAGGAAGTGACCCAGGGCAGGGTACTGGAACCCAGGGGGTTGGTGTGTTTAGGGGGTTCTGTCCCCCACCAACCAGGACTGAGGGGATTGACACATCCCCCCAGACCTTAGGGCCCTGGGTCGGGGCTTGGAGTGAGGCAGGGCCCGAGTCCCCCTACTCCCCCCACCCCCCGCGCCAACGCGGACACCTCTCGCCGTAAGGACCCCGCCAGACTCGGGGCAGGGCTCTTGGGTAACTGGGAAGCACGAAGAGGACGAAACCTCGGGTGAGGGAAACCAGAGGGGCGGGCGGAGAACCCTGCGTGGCTCTCGGGGAGGGCCGCGCCGATGCCGCGCCTCTCCACACGCCTCTTTAAACAAGCCCATTACTTCAAAATATATTTTGAAGTAATGGGCTTGATATTCTGGCATCCCTGTAACCCTCGTTTCCATGAGTATTAAGGGATTTGTCAGAACAGCTCTTTATTTCAAAATGTGTGGCTGTGTAGACCGTGCTAAATTTCAAAATAAGCTATTTTGAAATTACCTCGAAATAAGCTACACAATTTGTGTAATGCAAATTGCGTAACTTATTTCGAGGTAAGGGTGCTGTGTGGACACACCCCCAGGGAATGAAGGGAGAGCTCAGAGGTTTCCTGACATACAGGTCAGTTACTTGTATCTCAACAAGTGTTTTTATAGCAGTGACTTTGAGTGTGCAGCAGCATTTTCCCTCAACTCTTGAGTTACTTTGCAGATTCTAAAAGAAGTAAGCTCTTATTCCAGTTACATAGTTACTGGATCAGCTAGATAGAACCAGCCCAAATCTGCTTAAAAATATTTCAGCATAAGGGTGTTAGATGAAAACTCTGTCATGTCACTAACTCCAACAGCCACTGGAGAATTAAGAGCAAATAATCTACTGATGAAGCACGGATTTTAATCCTTGATGTACGAAGGAAACTTCCACTTTAATAGTTCTTACCCAAGCAGTAGTTACAAAAGGAGCTTGAAATACAAATGCATGAGTCCTGGGATAAAGTGAAAAATAAAATAAGACCTTGAGGAATGCTGTCTCAACTTGTGTGTATCCTGAAGACCTGGCAGCACTAATAGACTAGAAATAAGAAACGAGTACAAACAAATGGAGACAGTCTATTGACTGGGAAATCAATAGGAATGGGGCCAAAAAGAGCTGATGAGAGAGACACAAATTGAACAAATTTGTTGGGGGAAGAGTGGTAGGCAGAAATAGTGCCAAAAAGAGCTGATAGACACAAATTGAACAAATTTGTTGGGGGAAGAGTGGTAGGCAGAAATAGCTTTCAATAAATAATCAACTAGCACTTGTGTTTGAATTGCAACTCTATTTTTCATTTTATATTTGATTTTTCCTGAAGCATAATGGTATATATTTTTCAGTATTAACATTACCTGGGATGCTTTCTTTAGCAGCTTTTTGTTCAAATTCTGTTTGGAATGCTTTAAAAGCCTGCATCAACCTTTTTCACACAGTTCTTACCACTGTCTGCTTTTTCCTCCTAGACAAGTAATGTCTCCCACTCTATCTCCTGGAAATCTGTCCTAATATATTGGCATAAACATGGCAGAGGAGACAAAATGATTATAATCCTAATTAATTTGATATCATTGGGATTGTTCGCATACTGAACTGGGTCTTATTCATGGAATAAATTACTATTATGTTGTATCTCACTATGGTACAGTTACTATAATTATAGTTGGGTCTGTTTAAGATACATCAATTTTTGGTATTAAATATGTAGGAGTTTTTAAGTAATTTCATATTTAAGAACTGAACTTTCAAAAGTATGTGCAAGCTTTGAATGTTTACATGCACCCTTCGATTTGTTTGCAAAAACTAATATGTGGATTGGAGTTGGATTGCATAAGCGTATATAGCTACACTATTTGCTTGTAGCTTTATTAGGTCACATCATAACTGAACAGAACTGATGCCAATAAAGCTAGTTCTTCTTCGAGTGATGTCCCTGTGGATGCTCCATTGTTGGTGTTGGGCTTGTCCCAGCACCACATATTGGAGACTTTCAGAGCAGTGTCTAGTCGGGCTGCAAATGTGCGTGAGGCCCATGGTGTTCCTGCCTTTGAAGTTAACGCACGCAGCCTGATTCCTCTCAGTTCCTTCTTCACTGCCCTCAGCTACAGACGTAGTTCCAACCTCTTTACTCTGTGTCACTTCTGTGGAGCAAAAGAAAGAAAATTAGATAGTTTTTTCCTTTGTTAAACAGTTGATAGTTTAAAACATTTTTTTACTTCAGCTTGTATATAGTTAGTTTACCACAGCACAGTGCCAAGCTGCAGGAAACAAAAAAGAAAAAAAAAAGACAGCAAGAAAGGAAGGGAGCTTTCACTCATAAATAAGAGTTACAGCATCAAGCCGCATAGTCTGCCACCTGATGAAGTGTCAGGCTCTGGTTTCAAAAAATGTGAGAAATGACAGGACTCTATGCCAGCCTCTGATGGCCATAGCAAATGCACACGCTTCTTAGGAGAGATGCATGTTTCACAACAATATGTATGTTGTCGCAGCCTGACAGCGAGAGCTTGCAATGATAGAGAGCTCAGAATACTCAAGCTGTCCATTGACAAAGCCCTAGACCCCCATGTGCATAACAGGGGCAATAAAGGCTTGGATGCGACATCCCATCAGGGGAACCTCTCTAGCCCCTCATGGCTAAAAGCGCATTTAAAAAAACAAAGCCCTCACAAGCCCACTCCCTCCCATCATGAATTAGCAAGGAAGATGAACCAGGCATCTCAGGCATTCAAAAAGCACGAGCCTCCTCACTAACAGGCTAAAAAATGCACACTAAACAGCCTGTGAAGCTCGCTCTGCATACACTTAAAAGGGCACCTACTAAGGGCCCTGAATCAGCAAAGGCAGCTGCGGCAGCACCGGCACTATCTTTGGCACCCTGCGAGCCCCCGGCATGGCTTTCGCCTTCAGCACCAAGACGATACCAGGTGAACCCCAACCCTCCTCTCATGGTGCAGACTAACCCCAGATCTCCCAGGGTTCCAATGGTACCAATGCCTCCACCAGTAGCACTGGCAGACTTGGCACCGAGGCATAAACTGTTAAGCTGCTGCTGTTGCCCAGCATTCAGCAAAGCACACGCGCCATCAGTCATTGACAGGAGGCCGAGAACCAGGTCTCCGAGCAACCCTACCCCTGCTTCTTTACCCAAAGTTTGTTCCCAATTTCATATCCATGAACCCTTTGTCCTTCGCACTTTCTACCTGAAACCGCATCGCTCCAGGGATGAAGCCATATTACACGCACTGGGTGTAAGAAGGGCCATTGTCTTCTACTTAGACATTTTGTCCTTCTCACTTTCTACTTGAAACCGCATCGCTCCAGGGACGAAGCCATATTATACACACTGGATGTGAGAAGGGCCATTGTCTTCTACTTAGACAGGACACAGTCTTTTCAACTATCACTGTGACTGCTCATATCTATAGCCGAAAGATCCAAGGGAAAACCAGTTTCTTCCCAGCGCATATCAAAATTGATAACATCCTGTTATAACCACCTGCTGCTCACTCCAGAACAGAGCAGAACCAATGACTACCAAAGCTAATTCCATTAGAGCAATGGCAATGTCAATGGCCTTCCTCAGGGGAGTGTCACTCCATGAAATAACATCGAGCAGCCACATGGTCGTTTAACTATAGGTTCATGAAGTGCTACGCGATGTTACCATGCTCAATAATGGACACCACAGTCGCTTCGGTGGTTCTCTCCACAGCCTGCAACAACTAGCTGAAGCCCACCTACCATCTAAATGGGCACTGCTACAGTCTACAACAGTGGAGCACCCATGGGGACATCACTCAAAGAAGAAAGAGAAGTTACTCGCTCTGTGCATTAACGATTGCTCTTGGATGTGTCTCCCCTTTCCCCCTCCCCCCCATGGGTGCTCCACTACCCGCCCACCTCCCCGCTTCTTTGGGCACTTGCCAGGAGGGCATCAAAAAAGAGAGAGGGCTGCACGTGCTAACTTCAAAGGCAGGAACACTGTGTGTGTGCATGCGCAGCCTGACTGGAAACAGCTGTAAAAGTCTCTGATCTATGGTGCTGGAATAAGCCCAACACCAACAGTGGAGCACCCATGGGGACACAAGTCTCGAAGGACCATCGTTACTGCACAGAATGAGTAACTTCTCTCTTTAATAGGGTTACATGTACTTGACTTGCTAGGTATGGTAAGCAGTAGAAATATTAAATTGCATTAAATCAGCTAATTGAGTAGTCAATGGAATTTCCATCGACTACTTGATTAGTCAGAGGCATAGTGGGGGGACTGGGCATGAGCTGGGAATCAGCCTGGTTCCAGATGCTGTACATCTGCTTTTTAAATGTTATGGGATGAAAATGAACAGAAGGGTGCTAGTGTGTTCAGGTAGTTGGCACCACCCAGTAATTCCCACAGGACCTCACTCTGCACTCAACACTCAAAGCCAACCAAGATTTCATATCATGACTCTCAATCGTCTGTAGGATATGACCGTGTGTGGAAATCCTGATTGTTACTTTCTCTACACAGCTCAAATGCTACCACGGCCCGTAAGTGCTCTGCCTTTTTCTTGGCTGTTCTTGCCCATTTTCGTTCCACCTTGAACTTAGTGATACTTAAAAGGTTATAAGCTTTAACAAGTCTTGGGAGCCTTATCTGAGTAGTGCTTTTTTCCCCCTTCCTTTTTAGCCCCTGGAGGGACACGCATAGATGACAATGACAAGACCAAGATGACCAGCCACTGTGTATTCTCTGCAGATGAAGATTATGACACTATCCGAAACTATGCTCAGGTCCGTGTAGGAAGGACAGGCCACTGTAGTCTGTTGATAAGTCATTGGAAAAGATAGTAGTGATAAACCTGCAGATTGACCTTGCAGTAGACTAATTAGAAAGCAGTTAAGCAGTACAATTACGTACTAATCTGCCTTTGTCCCCTCTAACCTATAAGCTTTAACCTATTATATAAGAAAATTGATTTCTAGAATTACCTGGTCACAATTCCTTTGAAAGACAATTATAGGGCTGTTGTACATCTATCTTTCATACAATTTTTGTGAGGCTTATCAGTTTTTTTTCCAATTCTTCTCTTCAGTTTGTGCTGTCCTCTTCTACATGCAGTTATTTTAAAAATAAAAGGTTTTAGCAAGTTTATATTAACACATGGCACAGAAGAGTAATGACTGAAAAATGGAAACCTAATCCTACTTCCTCATGCAAGTAATTGGGATTTGCACAAATAATCAAATCGACATCAGTGGCCCCTCTACATGTGAGGGGGGGAAAAATGGTTATTCACAAGAGTTTGCAGGAATCGAAAAAGATACAAATAAGCCATGAAACTTAAGACATTGTGCAGTAATATTTCAAATCATGCAACTCCTTAGTGGAGTATGACAAATAATGATGACTAAGAGCAGTGCATAATGTGTAATATTCTAATAAAGGATGAGTTGTCATTACAGAAAAATGAGCCACCTTATAATTCTGCATATAAATCTAAAATAAAAAAGAAATCTCATGTGTGTGCAGATGTAACTATTGAAATAACATTTATTGTAACACTGGGTACAGTACACAAGAATAAAAGCAATTATCCCGGCCAGTGTGTTCAGCTGATATACAGACCCTGGCAGGACTTGTACAAAGGGCACTAGCATCAAGAATTGTTTCAGTAGCATATGTTGACTGAGAAGTGTGAGGCTACTTTAAAAACCTACTTGGAGGAGTGAAAATCTATGCAGGTTGAATCTCTAGTCCAGCACTCTCTGGTCCAGCAATAGCCGTAGTCTGACATGATTTTAGTTAGCTGGATGTCCGCTTATCATGGGTGTGGCCAAGTTTTCCTCAGTCTCGTAAAGTTTGCTTACAGCTGCCAATTCTGGCTCTGTGTTCTGTGCTGCTGTTTAGCTCGGTTTACCCATGAATGTCTTCTAAGAGCCCAGCAAGCAGTAGAAGTGTTGATAATGCTGCTAAGTGTAATTATGCTTTTTTTCCCCCTCATTTCCTTGTGCCAGTGCAATACAGTTGTGTAACAACCCCCCCACTCATTTCCTTGTGCCAGTGCAATACAGTTGTGTAACAACACTAACACTTTCTAATGGAGAGCTGATAAACATTGGCTAGGCATGGGCTTATGTAGGGTGCATCAATACTGTTATACATTAAGCAGTATTGTAAACATTGTTCCATTTAGTCATCTGAGCAAAATAGAGATTAACTCAATACCATATTGACCTTCCATGTTTCTGCAAATTCTCTGGTTTGGCACATGTCAGGTCCTGAGGGTGCTGGATTGAAGAGGTTCAACCAGAAAATCTGTAGGAAAGCAAAAGTATTGTATGTAGTAAGCAACATGTTTAGCCATTACACCCTCTGTTAAGAATCCGCTTCTCTTTTTAAGAACATTTTTGTTCATAATATTTATTACTCAAAACCATTGCTTTTGGGTCTTCAAATTGGATAGGTGTTTAAGTTGTCTGGTAATGACAACTGGAAATACCAATCTAAGGAAGAAAAAATTAGCTTTGGAACAGAACCTGCATTTAGTTGTAAAGGCAGGAGGTTTAAGAATTAAAAATGCAGCACAGGAAAAATATTCATACCAAAACTCAATAAGACCGCATTTTGTAGTTAACTGAATTGATGCTTCCGTTACTGATTCAGCCAACTCTTGCCTTTTGGATTAATAGGAAACAGAAATCTAACTCTAGCATGAAGAAATGAAATCTAAATCAAGGTCTACTTTAGCTCTGCAGGCCAGTCTTGTCAGAGAATACCTGAGAACTCTTAAATGTGCTGGTAAATACCACTACTTGCATGGCACTTTTCTGCTCTTATGCACACAGGGCTTGTCTGGCCCAATGGATATGATTTTCAAAGCAAACTAAGGTGTTGCATATTAGCTGGTCAGTGTAGACACTATTGTGGCATGTTAAGTTTATATCTTCACTAGAATAAAAGTCCTGCAGCATGACTGCAGCTGTCCACATCATAAGACAGACTCGGGCTCACAAGACTCAAGCTGCAGGGCAAAAAGTTTCTGTGCAGCTATTTGGATCAGGCTGGAACCTGGGCTATAGGACCTGCGAGGTGAAAACCTATCAGAGTTCTGGCTTGAACCTGAGCCTGAATGTTTAAACAGCCCCTTAGCCTGATCCCTGTGAGGCAGTTAGCTAGCATGGACCAGCCACAAGTGCCCAATTGCAGTGTAAACATACCTGAAGTATCCCAAAGCACTTTTCTACATTACAAATTGTCCTAACATGCAACATTTTCTAATTTTTTAACAGCGAACTAGCTCCTGTTTTGCATTATCTTTCTGCATTTTAATGGACTATAAATTTCCATATCCGCTTGCTTCCCCAAATTGCCATAATTTATTCTTTATTTCATTTTCTGCTGATCCGCGCTAAGACTGCCCTTCATAGGCTCTTGCCAGCCTCTTTAGAAAACGCTGTTGGAATAAACATAATCTGTCTCTTACACCCAGGTCATCATAACCTGGCAACAACAACAATAACATGCAACATTTTCTCATTTTTTAACAGCGAACTAGCTCATGTTTTGCATTCTCTTTCTGCATTTTAATGGACTGTAAATTTCCATATCCGCTTGCTTCCCCAAATTGCCATAATTTATTCTTTATTTCATTTTCTGCTGATCCGCGCTAAGACTGCCCTTCATAGGCTCTTGCCAGCCTCTTTAGAAAACGCTGTTGGAATAAACATAATCTGTCTCTTACACCCAGGTCATAATAACCTGGCAACAACAACAAACAAAATTAAATTGTAATTATTATAAACCAGCTCCCCATCCCAGTCGAGTTCCATGTCAGTTGCAAGCCTTGTGTTGGCTCTGCACAGTAGCAAGAGGACTGATTTTTTTTTTTCCAGTGTGTCTCATCTCCCACCCAACACACCCAGGCCAGTGCAGCCACAGTAGGAGTATGTTACCCTCCACAATTCATTGTGCTGAAGTCACATGGAGAGGAAAGGGAACATGGATGGAGAGACAGAACAGGGGACAGATAATGATAGGGAGGTGAGGGGGGACAGATATTACCAAAGGGCAGAAGAGGATTTGATGAGAAGAGACCAAAGTAGCTCAAGGGGAGGGGAAAGAACGGGAGCTCCTAGTAGGGGGAGACCTATGTCCCCTCAGAATAGGGAATGGCCCACTGCCATTTCTTCCCAGCCATCCATTACCCTTACACAAAGAAAACACAAACTCTGTGAAGAGTAGGGATTTGAACGTGTACACGGTTAACGTATACATGGTTACATGCAGCCCTCTCCCTCCCCCCTCTCCTCCTGTTTGCTACCACCTCTATATCAGAGGCAGCAGCATGGGAGGGGCATATCTACTCCCAGGGAATCACCTGCCTCCCCCTTCTATGATGCTGCATCTAATAGAGGCAGCAGCAGAAGGGTGGGGGGTGACAGATGGGAGCCGGGAGTCAGCTTAAAAGCAGGCTCTCCCCTTGCATGTAAATGTTTACCTAAATAAATGCATTTTAACAGCCCTAGTGAAGAGAAGGGAGATTGTGAAGATGCAAGTGTGGAGAAAGTACCAAAAAAGGCAATGTATGCATACACGTACAGAGATTGCTCCAATCTCCTGAGGACAGGAGAAGACTTTCAGTGGGGAGGGAGAAATGCAAGGCTCTTTATGAGAAGTCCAAAACTTTTGAGGCCATGAATTAAGATACTTTCTATTGACTCTAAAAGTTACCAAAATGTGCTTGTTATGCTCCAGCAGCACTGACTTAGTTTCTTTCAGAGTTGTTCCTGAAAAGATTTTTACAAAGGAGAACTTTGCTAGCTCTGAAAAGTATTCTACCTCTGATTATAGAGCATTTTATGATACTTTGTCAGGGCTGGGGAACCTCAGGTCTGGGGGCTGAATGTGGCCCCTGAGACTCAGTCCTCCTGCCCCAGCATTAGGGAATCTGTGTTGGTGCTCCAGCCCCCCCGCCACTCCACCACAGGGAGCGCACACGGCCCCTACTAGCGTGCTGGTGTTCCAGGCCCCCTGCCACTCCACCACAGGGAACGCACACGGACCCTACTAGCCTGGGCTCCCTTGGCTCTGGTGTGCAATGGGAATGTGGGGAGTGTCATTCTCCTTCTTAGTCAGAAAAGGTTCCCCACCCCTGCATTATGTCAAGGTCTTTGTTAAGAAACCAGTTTCTACTAAAGGCATTGAGCCCTACCACCATGGTATTACAGCTTACCACTGTTGGCTCAGTCCTCCAGCCTAGCAAGGCAGTTCTGTTATCACAGGATGTGTGCCAAATGGGGGTAGTCCCATTGTTTCACTCCTGTAAAGTGATCTACGAATGGGTAAAAAGAGAAATAGGGGTGTGACGTAGTGGGGGTACCTGGCTGGTTTCTATGCTGCTGGCTCTGGGGTAACCCCCACTGGCTGCCGTGGGGACCACGACCCCGCAAAAACCCCCCATGGAGAGGAACAAAGGAAGGTGGAATGCTGCCCTGGCTGGGGGGCAGGGCTGGAAGAGAGTTAGTTAGTTGCGGGCTGTCTGGGAGCATGGAGGAGACAGCCTAGGGAAAGGGGCTGGAGTTTAGGGGCCTGGTCTCCCCCATCTTGAGGGGGCCTGAGGCATCCTAGCCCAGCTCTGTGACCAGATTCCATCTGTGCTGTGCTGCATCCTGGAGAGGCAATAACCTTCCTCTATTCCACCGGCTGGTGCAGTTTGTTTGTGCCATTTCGGGGTGCAGGAGACGGGGGACCCCCAACATGCCATCACAAGGGGCAATGGACAGAGAGAGAGGAGAGGGGAGCAGGGAAAAGAGGCTGAAAATCCGATTTCTTGGAAACTCAAACTGTTCTCTCTACCAAATATTGCTGCCTTATAGAGGCATCCCAATGCTGATTTTAATCCTCCACTGTCAGGTAAACTAGCACAGGGGCAGAAACACCATCCTGGACAGTTGGAACGGTAGCTTGAGACAAGGGATTTCTTCACAAATGCGCACAGCACCCATTTCACTGGGTAGCTGCTAGTTTCCTAGAAAGACAGTGTATGTGGACATATAAAAAAAATTGTGTAATAGGATATTAAAACATAGGAAGCCTCTCTACTCCATACTTTTTTCCTCAGAGCTGTAACAGGGTCTTTAAAAAAAAAAATAATTGTATTCCCAGTTTTATCAAAAATAAGTTATGGGTGTTCTTCACTGACTTCAGGCCTGCCAGTGGGATAAGGAGTGTGTCAGGAGGGCTACTGTCTTAGGATCCAGTGATTCTAAATGGCCCAGGCTCCCAGCTGTCAAACCACTACTGCATCTGGGCCCTTTAAATCACTGCTGAAGCACCACATGGTGTGCTCTGAGAGGCTCTAAGCACTAGGGGCTGCCGGCATGGCATGCGCTGGGTAGTGATGAGGACTAGTTGTCCTTATCCCCCCTTTCTGCTTGAGACCCTGCCCCTTCTGGTAGTGCAGAGCCCTACCCCCAACCTTGCCCAGGGGTCTGGCATTGTCTGTTTCCCCAACTGACTTACAGGAGACAGTGCTATGTTTTTATTTCTCTAACTTAATTTGTTTTATGTTTAGGTCTTCAATAAACTAATCAGGAGATATAAATATTTGGAAAAGGCATTTGAAGAGGAGATCAAAAAGGTGATGTTGGTAGCAGTATCTCTTTGTGCTTAATATCCTATTCGCTCTAATGTAATTGTATATTCTTTAATAGTTTTGTTGTCTCGATTTAACTTGGTTGGGTCAGAGAGAGCAAACTGTAACATTCAGAAGTGGTAGCTTTAATTTGTAATTGTGGCTCTATAAGAGCACTGCCTGTGGAGTTTGTCCAGGGTACATGCTGAATCAGCATGTCCCTACCCTCCTCCCCCACTTTCTCATCCCAGCCTGTTTCTGGTGCTGTCAGTGTCTGTGGAACCACCTGGCAGAGCACTCGCTGAGATGAATTTAATCAACAAAACCCAGAGTTGTATCAAACTCACGGTATATGTTTTCCATGTAGTGTCTGCAAATCTGTCACTCGTTAAAGTCAGTGAGATTGCTCGTATGAACTGTGACTAGTTTGGTATGTATACATTGCAGAATGAGCTCCAAGTTTTAGGTTTTTAGGAGGCGTTGGGTGCATGTCTGTGACGTGGTAAGAGCAAGTATCGCACAACGATGGAGTTGTTACTGTATTAACTTGCTTTAGATGTTAATGAATGTGGTGGCTATTTATTGAATTACATGGAAACCTGAAGAACTGTGATGAAATATTTGGACTTAGAGTTTTCTCCTCCGAATTAATATAAAATTATATCTTTGATTCATGGTCAGC